TTTTTATGATTTTGAATGTTTTGATTTTTAGATTTTCTAATTTTTTTGATTTTTAGATTTTTAGAGTTTTCAATTTTTCGATATTAAAGTTTTCCAATTTTTCGATTCTTCAAATTTTGGATTTCAGAAATCCTGATTTTTTTATTTTTAGATTTTTCTATTTTTAGATTTTCAGTTTCTCTTGATTTTTTGATTTTTCGATTTTTAAATTTTCAGTTTCACTTGATTTTTCGATTATTTGATTTTCAATTTCTCTATTATTCGATTTTTCAACTTATGAATTTCAGAATTCCTGAATTTTATGATTTTTCAATTTTTTGATTTTTAGATTTTCTATTTTTTTTTAGTTTTCAGAGTTTTCGATTTTCAGATTCTCGAAGATTCAAATTTTTCAATATTAAAGTTTCCCCATTTTCTGATTGTTCAACTTTTGGATTCAGAAATCGTGATTTTTTTCATTTTTAGATTTTTCTATTTTTAGGTTTTTAGTTTTTCTTGATTTTTTGAATTTTCAATTTTTAGATTTTCAATTTCACTTGATTTTTCGATTATTTGATTTTCAATTTCTCTATTATTCGCTTTTTGAACAGACGAAGTTTAGAATTCCTGATTTTAATGATTTTTAAATTTTTTATTTTTAGATTTTCAATTTTTTTTTGATATTTAGAATTTTCGATTTTTTTTTTCAGATTCTGGAATTTTCAAATTTTCGCTATTAAAGATTCCCCATTTTCTGTTTTTTCAACTTTTGGATTTCAGAAATTGTGATTTTTTTAGTTTTAGATTTTTCTATTTTTAGATTTTCAGTTTCTCTTGATTTTTTGATTTTTCGATTTTTAGATTTTCAGTTTCACTTGATTTTTCGATTATTTGATTTTCAGTTTCTCTATTATTCGATTTTTCAACTTACGAATTTCAGAAGTCCTGATTTTTATGATTTTTCAATTTTTTAATTTTTATATCTTCTAATTTTTTGTATTTTTAAACTTTTCGATTTTTCGTTTTTCGGATTCTCGAATTTTCAATTTTTCGATATTAAAGTTTCCCCATTTTCCGACTTTTCAACTTTTGGATTTCAGAGATCCTGAATTTTTTGATTTTTTATATTGTTCGATTTTTCAATTCTTCCAATTTTAAATTTACAGTTTCTATTGATTTTTTGATTTTTCGATTTTCAGTTTCTCGAATTTTCAATTTTTGATATTTCAGTTTCTCCATTTTTCGATTTATCAATTTTTGAGTTTAAGAATTCCCGATTTTTTTGATTTTTAGATTTCCAGTTTCTCAAATTTTCAATTTTTCGATATTTCAGTTTCTCCATTTTTCGATTTTTCAACTTTTGGATTTCAGAAATCCTGATTTTTTTTTATTTTTAGATTTTTAGATTTTCCGATTTTTCGACTTCCCGATTTCTCCATTTTTTCGCTTTTTCAATTTTAAGATTTCAGTTTCTCTTGATTTTTTGATTTTTTGATTTTTAGATTTTTAGTTTCACTTGATTTTTCGATTTTTCGATTATTTGATTTTAAATTTCTCTGTTATTCGATTTTTCAACTTACGAATTTCAGAATTCCTGTTTTTTTTTATTTTAGAATTTTCGATTTTCAGATTTTCAGATTTTCTTAAGATTTTGATTCTTCAATTTTTAGATTTTCACTTTCTCCATTTTTCGATTTTTTAACGTTCGGATTTCAGTATTCCTGGTTTTTTACTTTTGATTTTTCGATTTTTAGATTTTCAGTTTCTCTTGATTTTTCGTTTTTCGATTTCTCGATTTTTCAATTTTTAAAGTTTTCGATTTTCGGATTTTTTAAAATTTTTCGATTAATTGATTTTTCGATTTTTCGATTATTCGATTTTCAATTTCTCTGTTATTCGATTTTTCAAAACTCGGATTTCAGAATTTCCGATTTTTTTTGGTTTTTCGATTTTTTGGTTTTTGGATTCTTTAAATTTTTTTATTTTTAGATTTTTAGAGTTTTCGATTTTTAGATTTTCAGGTTCCCGAATTTTCAAATTTTCGATATTTCAGTTTGTCCATTTCTCGGTTTTTCAACTTTTGGATTTGAGAATTCCTGATTTTTTTGATTTTTAGATTTTTCGATTTTAGTTTCTCTTGACTTAGATTTTTCGGTTTTTCGATTTGTAAATTTTCAGTTTCTCAAATTTTCAATTTTTCGATATTTCTGTTTCGCAATTTTTCGATTTTTCAACTTTTGGATTTCAGAAATCCTGATTTTTTTTTATTTTTAGATTTTTCTATTTTAAGATTTCAGTTTCTCTTGATTTTTTGATTTTTCGATTTTCAGATTTTTAGTTTCTCTTGATTTTTCGATTTTCAGTTTCCCCATTTTCCGATTTTTTAACTTTCGGATTTCAGAATTCCTGATTTTTTTTTACTTTTAGATTTTTCTATTTTTAGATTTTCGGATTTTCTTTTTAAATTTCTCGATTAATTGATTTTTCGATTTTTCGATTATTCGATTTTCAATTTCTCTATTATTCGATTTTTCAACACTCGGATTTCAGAATTTCCGATTTTTTTTTGTTTTTCGATTTTTTGGTTTTTGGATTCTATAATTTTTTTGATTTTTAGAGTTTTCGATTTTTCGATTTTGAGATTTTCAGGTTCCCGAATTTTCAAATTTTCGGTATTTCAGTTTCTCCATTTTTCGGTTTTTCAACTTTTGGAATTCAGAATTCCTGATTTTTTTTATTTTTAGATTTTTCGATTTTAGTTTCTCCTGACTTAGATTTTTCGGTTTTTCGATTTGTAAATTTTCAGTTTCTCAAATTTTCAATTTTTCGATATTTCAGTTTCGCAATTTTTCGATTTTTCAACTTTTGGATTTCAGAAATCCTGATTTTTTTATATTTTTAGATTTTTCTATTTTAAGATTTTCAGTTTCTCTTGATTTTTTGATTTTTCGATTTATAGATTTGCAGTTTCTCTTGATTTTTCGATTTTCAGTTTCCCCATTTTCCGATTTTTTAACTTTCGGATTTCAGAATTCCTGATTTTTTTTTACTTTTTGATTTTTCTATTTTTAGATTTTCAGTTTCTTTTGATTTTTTGATTTTTCGATTTTCAGTTTCACTTGATTTTTCGATTTTTCGATTATTTGATTTTCAATTTCTCTATTACTCGATTTTTCAACTTACGAATTTCAGAATTCCTGCTTTTTTTTTTATTTTAGAATTTTCAATTTTCAGATTTTTAGATTCTCTTAATTTTTTGATTGTTCAATTTTTAGATTTTCAGTTTCTCTTGATTTTTCGATTTTTCGAATTTCACTTTCTCCATTTCTCGATTTTTTTAACTTTCGGATTTCAGAATTCCTGCTTCTTTTACTTTTTGATTTTTCGATTTTTAGATTTTCGGATTCTCTTGATTTTTCGATTCTTCGATTTTTATATTTTAACTTTCTCGAATTTTCAATTTGTTGATATCTCGGTTTCATCATTTTTCGGTTTTTCAACTTCGGGTTTAAGAATTTCTGATTTTTTTGATTTTTTTATTTTCAGTTTCTCGAATTTTCAGTTTTTGGATTTTCAGTTTCTCTTGATTTTTCGTTTTTCGATTTCTCGATTTTTCGATTTATCGATTTTTCAATTTTTCGATTTTTCGATTTTCGGATTTTTTAAAATTTTTCGATTTTTCGATTATTCGATTTTCAATTTCTCTATTATTCCATTTTTCAACGCTCGGATTTCAGAATTTCCGATTTTTTTGGTTTTTCGATTTTTTGGTTTTTGGATTCTCTAATTTTTTGATTTTTAGATTTTTAGAGTTTTCGATTTTTCGGTTTTTCGATTTGTAAATTTTCAGTTTCTCGAATTTTCAATTTTTCGATATTTTAGTTTCTTCATTCATCGATTTTTCAACTTTGGGATTTCAGAATTTCTGATTTTTTTGATTTTTAGATTTTTAGATTTTCCGATTTTTCGACTTACATATTTCTCAGTTTTTCGATCCTTCAATGTTACTGTTTTTCGACTTTACAATTTTAGAAAATCGTAAAAGTGCAAAATGCAAGAAATTGGAAACTCCGATAACTGGGAAAATAAAAACTGTAAAATTGAAAAAAATTGGAAATTCGACGAATTGAAAAAAAAATTAAAAATAAGTAAAATCATAAAATTATGAAATAGAAAGAAATATTGCAAAAATAAAAGAAATGAAAAAACGAAAAATCGCAATATATATTTTAAAAAATTAAAAAAGGAGTGGAAAGTGAAAAATAAAAATCAAGAACTTAAAAAATTTAGGAAATGAAAAATTGAAAAATCGAAAAATTCAAAATTAAGAACAATTTTGATCTTTTTTCCAAAAAAAGACGACAGACAGACAAACAAACAGACAGAGAGACGGAAACGGGAGACCAATTTAGTTTACCCTCAGGGAGTAAAAAGAACGAAGAACATGCGCATTTGAAAATTACGAACCACTAATTCATCCAGTCGTAATTAGTTTTCTGCAAACCAAATAATCCGTTTTCTACATGTAACATTAACGCGTACAGAGAATAGGGAAATGGCAAAAACGGCCCCAATTAGTCGCAAAATTAACTTCAGACTTTATAATTGCAGCACTCAAGTTTTTGTATTCTCATAACGCTCTAGTTTTAAAGAAGAAATGCCATAAACGAATCAGATTAGCGTCCACATTTCCCGCCTACGATCCACCTCCTGCTTCTTTATCCCCCACACAAACACAATTAGCCCGTTCTCTTTCATCTGTTGACAATAGCTTAAGGCAACACTAATTAACGGATTGTTTAGTCGTCATTTCTCGCATTTCATCCCCGACCACACTCGAAGTGTTAACCGCATCATCCCTAATCAAATTTTACAGAACTGAATAAATCTCGCTTGGAAATTTCCATTGTGCGCTAGACCCGACGGTAGCGAGTTTTCGGGGGATAGTTTGCTAAAATGCGAAAAGGCAGCTCTTGGGTCGCTGAAAAAGAACAAAGGGAAAATTGCTCGTTTCGCAATACCTGATCAGTTCGAAGATTTCGGGCTTCTCCCTCTCTCTCTGCTTCATTCGCTCCTTCATTGCGGTGATGATGCTGTTGGCCTTGTCTTCGGCGCCGTGTTTTGAACTCTTCTCGGCGGCCCCTGAAACATTTGATTGGTTAGGAGTCTGAAACGTAAGTGCGAATTCAGCGTATATAATTGTAACTTATGAAATCAAGCACGTGGTGGCACCATAACCTGTTGTGGACAAGGACATAAACAATCGGTGTGAAGAAGTCGTGGTTCCAGAGACAGAGTCACAAATATTCAGGATGGACACAACTTATGAAGCCATTCGTTAAGAAATACAATATATAGGTACTTTCATGTTTTCTCAACCTTCCATGACCCCTAAAGTACGAACAACGTGGTCTCTCGTTTCCGTCTGTCTGTCTGTGTAACACTAATTTGAAAATTTAACTCTGAAACGGCAAAACCGAATGATCTGAAATCTGCAAACGTTTTAAGCTTATCGTGATTATTATGGTAAATCGTTAATCAAAATTTCTTGATTTATTTCCTCCCAAAAAATTGATGACGTCATTTTAAAATTTTGTAATGAAAAAATTCGCTTGAAACAAATGCGTAGCAAGCTTCTTTACCTCTATTTTAACATTGTATATGTACATATTTTCATTTTAATTTGTATAACTTACCATAAAAGATAAAATTCGCAAAATCAAATGTTATAATTTTTCGAAAAATCTGGATTTATTGTACTGTATTTTAGGGGCGAGGGAAATTCTGTCGAAATAATCTTCGGACAATTTTTATTTTTCAGTTCTTCGATTTTTCAACTTTTGTGACTTGTCGATTTCTTGGTTTTTCGATTTTTCAGTTTTTTAATATTTCAATTTTTTGATTTTTGAAATTTTAGATTTTTAGATTTCTTGTATTTTTGATTTTTCGTGTTATGATTTTGTACATTTCAATTTTGGATTTTTTCAGTTGTTTGATTCGTCGGTGTTTCTCGATTTTTCAAATTTTCGATTTCCCAATTTTTCGACTTTTCAGTTTTTAGATTTTTCGATTAATCGGTTTTTGACTTTTCGAATTTTCGATTTTTTGATTTTTCCATTTCTTAATTTCTTGACTCTAGCGTTTGGATTTATCGATTTTTGGAAAATCCGTTTTTCAATTTTCCAATTTTTCGATTTTTTACATCTTAAATTTTTTAATATTTTTCCGATTTTTCAATTTTGGGCAATTTCGACTTCTCGATTTTTTGAGTTCCCGACTTTTCGATCTCTTGTTATTTCAAATTCTCTCCAATTTAAAAATTTTTCGATTTTAGGCTTTGCAATTTTTCGATTTTCCAATTGTTCGACCTAACAGTTTCGGGGTTTTTCAATTCCTTGATTTTCAGTTTTTCGATTTCTGGATTTTTCGACTCTTCAATTTTTTGTTTTCCCTATTTCCTGAATTCTCGAGTTTTCAATGTTTTGATTTCTCGACTTCTTGATTCCTCAATTTTTCGATCTTTAAGTTTTTCAGTTTTTCAATTTTTCGATTTTTCAATTTTTCGATATTTGGCGTTTCCAAATTTTCAGTCTTTTGATTTCTCTACATAGCAGTTTTTCGATTTTTGAAATTTTTTGACTTTTAGATTTTTCAATTTTTCAAATTTTCAGTTTTTCAGTGTTTGAACATTCCAATGTTGGGATTTTTCAGCGATTTGATTCTTCAATTTTTCGGTTTTTAAAATTTTCGATTGTTCGGTTATTCAGTTTTTGACGTTTCTAAGTTTTCGGTTTTTCGATTTCTCAGTTACTCGATTAATCGGGTTTAGGCTTTTCGACTTTTCGATTTCGCCATTTTTCGGCTTCTGGATTTTTGGATTTTCTATTTGTTTACACCGTTTCGATTTCTCGATTTTTCGAATTTCCAGTTTTTCAATTTTTCAATTTTTAAAATTTTTAATTTTTCGATAGGTCAATTTCAAAATTTTTTGATTTTGTTACATCTAAAATTGTTCAGTTTTCAGTTTTTCGATTTTGGGCTATTTCGATTTTTCTGAATTTTTGATTTCCCAACTTTTCGATTTCTCGATCTCTTGACGTTCCTTCGATTTTTCGATGTTTCGATTTTTCAATTTTTCGTTTGATTTTTTTTTCATTTTCTTCCTTTCTCCGTTTTTCATTTCTCCATTTTCCAATTTTTTGAATTTTCAAATTTTAGATTTTGCAATTTTCTCGATTCTCATTTCATTGATTTTTCAGTTTTACGATCTTTTGATGTTCCCATTCCTCGATTTTCTAATTTTTTAATTTTTCGAAATTTCGATTCCTCTACATCGTGGTTTTTCGATTTTTAAAATTTTTTGACTTTTCGATTTCTCAATTTCTCAACTTTCAGTTATTCATTCTTTCAAAATTTTAGTGTTGGGTTCTTATTAATATTTTGATTCTTCAATTTTTCTATTTTTCAGCTTCTCGATTTTTCAAATTTTCGATTTCTCGATTTTTCGGCTTTTCAATTAGGAAAATCACTGTTTCTTGAATTCTCGACTTTTCAATATTTCGATTCGACTTCTCGATTTCTCGCTTTCTTGATTTTTCGGTTTTCGATTCTTCCATTTTTGGGTTTTCTAAATTTTCGGTTTTTCGGTTTCTCAATTTCTCGACTTCTCAATTTTTTTATCTTTCCATTTGTTAATTTCTCGACTTTCTAGTGTTTCGATTTCTCGATTTTTCGTATGTTCAGTTTTTCAATTCTTCAATTTTTCTATTTTTAAAACTTTTAATTTTTCGACTTCAAGATTTTTCGAGATTTCGATGTTTTGATTGGTCAAGTTTCCAATTTTTCGATTTTTTTTACATTTAAAATGGTTTCAATTTTAATTTTTCAATTTTTCGATTTCTAGATTTTTCAACATCTTAATTTCGCATTTTTAAAATTTTTTTGTTTTACGATTTTCTGATGTTCCGATTTTTAAATTTTTTAGTTTTTCAACATCTCGGTTTTTCGATTTTAAAATTTTTTCCAATTTTCGATTCTTCGATTTCTCAATTTCTCAAGTTTTCGGTTTCTGAGTTTTTCAGTGTTTTGATTCCTCAATTTTGCGATTTTTTAATTTCTCGATTTTTCGAATTATCAATTTCTTGGTTATTCGGGTTTTCAATTTTTTCATTTTATCTTTTGATATCATGATTTATCGAGATTTCATTGTTTCGACTTTTCGGGTTTGTGATTTTTCGATTTTCCAATTCTTGGACGTTCCCGATTTTCCAATTTTTCAATTTTGGAATTTTTTTGCTTTTTTGATATTTTAATTCTTCGAAATTTCTGTATTTTCAGTTTTCTATTTTCTAAATATTCGATCGCTCGATATTTCGACTTTTGGAAATTCGGTTTTTCGATTTATCAATTTCTCGATTCATCGATTTTTGATTTTTGATTTTTCGACTTTCGATTTCTCAATTTTTCGACTTCAGTTTTTTGATTTTTTCATTTCTAGATTTCTCGACTTTGCAGTGTTTCCAATTCTTGATTTTTCAATTTCACGATTTATCGAGATTTCGATGTTGCGATTTTTCGGCCTTGCGATTTTTTTGATTTTCCAATTATTCGATGTTGCTGATTTTTCAATTTTTCAATTTTGGAAGTTTTTTGGTTTTTTGATATTTTAATTTTTCGAAATTTCAAAATATTTTAAGGTTTCTATGTTCTAAATGTTCGATCACTCGATATTTTGATATTTCGACTTTTTGGATTTCGATTTTTTCTAGATTTCTAGATTTTTCAATATATCAATTAATCGTTTTTTTGATTTTTCAGTTTTACAACTTGTTGATGTCCCGATCTTTCGATTTAATTTTTTTTTCATTTCTCGGCTTTTCGGTTTATCCAATTTTTCGCTTTATTGACATCTCCGTTTTTGAATATTTGGAATTTTTCGAATTTTCGATTCTTGGGTTTCTCAATTTTTCAAGTTCAGTGTTTGGATTCTTCGATTCTCGATTTCTCAATTTTTCGATTTTTCAATTTTTCAATTCAACAATTTTTGGTGTTTCTAAATTTTCGGCTTTTCGATTTTTCAATTTTTTGAATTTTCTGTTTCTAGATTTTCCGACTTTCCAGTGTTTTCAATTCTTGATTTTTCGAATTTTCAGGTTTTCAATTCTTCGTTGTTTCTGATTTTTCAATTTTGGGGTTTTTTTGGTTTTTCGAAATTTTAATTCTTCGAAATTTTGATATTTGAAGTTTTCTATCTTCTAAATGTTCGATGACTCGATATTTCGATATTTCGACATAATGGATTTCGATTTTTCGATTTGCCATTTCTTGGATGTTGGGTTTTTTCAATTCTTCGACATTTCAATTTTGGGATTTTTCAATTTCTATACTTTTCAATATCTCGAATTCTCGTTTTTTTGATTTTTCAGTTTTTTGATGTTCCGATTTTCCGATTTTAAAATTTTTTAATTTTTCAATTTTTCGATTTATCGAATTTTCGATTCTTCGATTTCTCGATTTCCTCAAGTTTTCGGTTTCTGGGTTTTTCAGTGTTTTGATTCTTCGATTCTAAATTTTTAGATTTTTCAATTTTTAAACTCAACACATTTTGGTGTCACAAAATTTTCGGTTTTTCGATTTCTCAATTTTTTTGATTTTTCCGTTTCTAGATTTCCAGTTTTCGATTTTTAAAATTTTATCGCGATTTCGATGTTTCGATTTTTCGGGTTTGTGATTTTTCGATTTTCCAATGTTGTGATTTCATAGTTTTTCTTTTTTTTAATGTGAAAATTTTCAATTTTTCGACTTTTCAATTTTTTGATTTGCAAATTTCGGTTTTCGATTTTTGATGTTTCAAATTTTCGATTTTTTATTTTTTCAAACCTTCAATTTTTCGATTAGCAATTTTTTGTTTCGGTTATTTTGTTTATTTTTTCAATTTTTCGAGATCTCAAAGTTGTGATTTAGTGAATTTTGTTACTTTTTAATGTGAACATTTTCAAATTTTGGAGTTTTCAATTTCTCGATTTGCAATTTTTCGGTTTTCGCTTTTTGATTTTCCATTTTTTGCATTTTTAAAATTTTGGCTTTTTCAGTTTTTCAGGCTCTTCAATTTTTCGTATCGGTTATTTACTTCATTTTTAAAA